GGAACTACTATAGGGGTCATTAAGGGGGATACTAGGAGTTTAGAATATGGCTCATGTCGAGCATGTCCCTACCATGACCCGTCCACGCGTTGCCTGTCGCATGAAACCGCCAGTGCCTGGGCTAAGGTGTCTGTACAAGCATGCCTTGGGTGAAGAACCTATCTCTTTGCCTGGCGAAACGCCGAGCGGAACCGCCATGTTGGCTCTATCCAGAGCTCGGCATAATATTGTTTTGTCAACCGCTTTCCTATCAACATGAGTGCGGTAAACACAACGTAGATGCATGTGCTAGCTCTTCTGCTGTGCTATCACTTGTCAATTGAGGGCTGTCAGAAGCCAGCACGGCTGCATTGACAACGGCATGTTTGCTGAAAAAGTTCTGCTCCTGCTACATCTCCCTTCTGATCCATTCTGACGGATCCTAGCAACTGAACATCTTGCCCTTGGATATGCTTACTGTGGGTTGGTAGTGAATATATCATAGAGGGACGATATAGGGAGTTTGAAATATATTCCCTTATTCCTTACTAAGCCGCGGTAAGTTACAAGTCAGACTTGGCTTGAGCTTTGGGCTCAGAGACTCAGTGTATATTGGGGTTGTATTAGGGTTTAGGGTTATACTGGGGTTATATTGGGGTTATATCAGGGTTAGATTGGGGTAATATGGGCTCAAAACCCGGAGTCATCCTCCAAGGCTCACAGGCACGCAATGGGCACTTCTTTGAGGCGCTTTCTTGACTCAGTCTTTGGAAATTCGTTCCGCAGCGCTCGGTCTCTGGCAAAAAGAGGTTTTCGAAATAAAAAACCCTAAGCCCTAAACCCTAAACCCTAAAAAACCTTTTGCCAGAGACCCGGCCTGCTTCTCATCTCAGGACTGGAGTCACCGCGCCTAGAGGCCAAGGCTTCCACACAGCGACTGCATCATAACTTTCAGAAGAGAAACGCAAGATCCATAATGGTAATAGTACTAGAGACAACAGTAAGGATGATCAAGAGTGATCAGCACAAAAAATACTAGAAATGATCATACTCGGCCTTTTCCTCCAGCCCATAATTGGTTCTTGAAACGGGTAAACTTGGCAGAGACATCACCGTCCAAGCCCTGGAGGTCCCGTGTATCACTGCCCCCTCAAGCCTTTCCTGTACACTTTCATGGGTTCCCTTTAGGGACCTTAGGAATAATTAATCCCAATTATAGTTAATTAGGGTGAATCTGGGGGGGTGTAGTATGGGGGGGTAGTAGGGGAACCCATGAACTTTACAATGTCACATCTTCTCATGGGTAATAGCTTTTCTCGAATGGCCAACTGGGTAGGGGAATGTTTCCCACGCAGCCTGTGTCCGAGCAGTAATTCCCGCAATCATAGTTGTAGCAATTGCCATCTGATCCTGAACAAGCATAGCAGTAGCAAACTTGGTCGTTGGTGCTACCGGGCACTCCAAAGGAAGAACCAACTGTCCGGCAGCTCTTGCAAGCGTAGCAGCGGTCTCCGGACTGGCAGCTGTAGCACTTTCCGTCAGCTGCGGGGCAGCATGGATCGTGACCTCGCAAGTTTGCGTCAACAGTCTCAGCCTTCAGTGGCCCGGTGATGTTGCTTTTGGCTTCTGTGCCAGGTCCAGTGTACCAACTTGCCACGTCACTGACAGATGTACCTCGCTTGAGCCTGCCGCGCCATCCCTCCTCGAGCTTGGGAACGTTGCTGCCGCTGCTCTCATCGGCACCGGTGCCACACAAGGAAGCGAAGAACATCCAGAGAAGGACAACTTTCATCTTTGCCACAACCGCGGGGCGGGGTCTTCAGGGCACCAGGGAACAAAGGCTTGAGCCATCAGCCAACACGTTCACACGTGTCTGCATCCCCTGAACCTTCCACCGTCATCAGGAACTCTGAGCTTAGCGCTGTAGATAAGCCAGACACATCGACCTCTAGAGACGGAACAAGTCACTGTCACTGGCTCAGGATCTACGTTATAGGAATACCTGCCACTCTTTTGACAAAGCGAACACCAAAGCAAACAGCAAAGCAACAACAATGTGGAGCCTCGGTGGGAAGCGGGGGAAGGATGTCATGACAACACGTCGCCTTTTTGGGGGTTCCCATAATGAGGATTATGATGTTCTGGGGCCTATGTTGGGGCCCCCTTCTTTAGGAAAACTACCATATAACCCCAGTTTCCATGTCATTTTCCATCTTCTTTTCCATGTGATTCTCCATTATTGGGCCCTATACCTCTATTTAGGGAAACTACCAAACTAAATCCTAAACCGTCAACCTTTGCTCGAAACGATTGACCGGGCACAAGTAGACAATTAGCAAGGGCCAGTGCTTTCTGCACAGCATTGCACAGCCATCCATGTACAGCCCAGCTCCAGTCAACCCCGTTCCGGGGTTGAGTATCTAACACTGGGTTGGCCGCTAGAACCCTTTGAAAAACATTAATTTATAGGGTCCCTTGTTAAAGCCATTAGGGAAAATATTAAATATCCCAGGGGCCTACCCAGAACAAGTCTCCTGTGCCCCCTAGAGTTGGCCAGGCTCGTCCAAACGAGTCCAGCGTAGCTGGGGAGCAACACAGAAAGTATGAGAACCCAACGGCCCAGAAGGCCATGCTTTAAACTCTGTGGCAAATCTTCTAAATCTAAACTCATCTCGTGAGATTGCAGCACATGCAAGTAACTATTATTACTATGAATACTATTGTTACTCTTATTCCCATTATTGCTATTTTAATAATTATTGCTGTTATTTCCCATTATAAGCCTCTGGCTTGAGTGAATTACCAGGCGCGGCCCAAAACGGCTGCCCCATCTGGAAGCTCTTGCTCCATGGCCTTCAACAACCTGGGTTGCTGTTAAGGAACTTAGTTTAAGCTACCATATTGGGGAAACCATATTCATTACTATGTATACCCATTATGGAACCCTAAACCCCTAACCCTCAACCCTATATACCCTATAGTCCCCATATACCATATATATACATATATACCCATTATGGTAACTTAAGTTAAATTCCTTAACAGCAACCCAGCAACTCATCCTCACTGTCCCCTGCCGCAAAGGAAATCTGGTAGACAAGTCCCGCGGCCTCGTCTGCGTTCACCACTTGACTTTGGGCACCGTACTTGGGCGGGACCGGCAAGCTGTAAGCCATCCCCATGTTGAACAGCAGGGGCATCATCAGCTCCATTTTGTCACCCATCTCGCTCCCAAACACGGCATCATAAAGGTTCAAGTGACGCCAACTGTTGAACAAGTTCACGACGGCCAAACCTGGTATCGTCCCTGCTTCAGGCAGTGGGATCGCGGCTTGCTGGTCTAGCCCCTTCTGGATGGCTTCCAGGGTGGCACTGGAAGCCACAGCTTCGTGCACCCGCTGTGCCAATTGGCTAAGCTTCTGCTTTGTGATGGCAGGGCAAACGATTGGTGCAGCTGCGACCATGTTTCCGAAGTGACTATCCGTCACCTTGGGGTACCGACCCCGCACGTTCAGCGGAATGATCAACATGCTGGTGTCGCTGGCAGGGTCAGAGATGCAGGGCGTCCTGCTATGACGGCATGCAAAGCTCCACATAAATGCTACCAGAAGGTCATTCTTCGTGATCTTTTTGCTCTCCTCTGGAGGAAGATCCTTCAATGCATTTGCCTGCCATTTTTCTAAACAAGATTTTGGGAACAGGATGCGAAACACTGGCCCCAGCTCCGTCCACACCGGCTCCCGCTCCTCTGTCCACCGCTGTCGTTCCACTTTGATGTCGTGCCCCGCCTCTGCGTTTCCTGTTGCTCCTACAAGGATCGAGTGATCCACGATGGGCGGCTCAGCCAAAACAAACCTCTTGCCGTCTTCAAACAGATGGCGGTGCATGTTCGCCCACAATCTCATGAAGTCCGTCCTCGCAGTTCCATCGAAACACAAGTGCGAGAACATTCCGAAGAGCAGCACCCACGAATCTCCCGCACTGTTGCGACACCACGTACATTTCATAAACAGTGTCTTGTGCGTCTCCTAGAGATGGCAAAATGAAGACAACTACAAAAATGACCACATGAAAATCAAACCAACCTTTAAAGAACACAAGGGTGTTGTCAAAATTATGATCCTTTTTTGGTTACCCTAAATATTAGGGGCCGTACTATTATAGGGATCCAAAAAGGGGCCATGATTTTGACAACCACCCACAAGAAGAAGCAGAAGATGCGGAAAGAAGCATCCTCGAGGATGTGCCAAGTGGTGGTTGGCTTCATGGTGGGAAAAAGAGGCCAGTCACGAATGCAGCCGCGGTCAACGGAGTCCTGAGTGGGCGCCCAATCCATGCTGGCAAATTCCTGGGTTGCTGCTAAGGAACTTGAACTATTTTGCCATGATGGGCATATATCGTAAATAATAGGGTTTCCCCAATGTAGTAACTTAATTTAAGTTCCTTAACATCATCCCAGATTCAATCGACGGCGGGCATGACCCAGGCTTCCTGGCGTGATGAGGTGGATACGAAAAATCTGGCATGACGCTGAGTCTAGGGAGTCTAGGGCTTAGGGTTTAGGGTCCAAGTAAACAATACCTTGAAATTCATAGTATGTGGTATGATTCTGCACAAAGGTCACGCACGCGTGTATCAAGAGTTGAACCACTTCATAAACACAATCGCGACGAGATAGTTCACACCTATCTATAGACATGTATTAAATGTGTGTGTGTATGTATGTATGTATGTATGTATGCATGCATGCATGCATGCATGCATGCATGCATGCATGCATGTACTCCCTTCCATGTTGAAGTAAATTCACTTTGGCCCTGGCCAAAAGGCCTTCAAAGCCCCCCTCCTACACCCTCGCTGACGCTTCGCATCTTTACTAGTAATAATAATCACAATAATAGAAATAGCAATATAATAACAATCGGTAATAATAGCAAACTAATAGTTCCTTCGTTCCCGGCTTCCTTCTCCTGGACGCCCAGTATTTCTTGCAGCGTCAGCCCCAGTAGTTGGTTTAGGCCCGAAATGTCGTTTTCTGAGCGTGAAGCCTGGAACTCTGCAAAGCCTCCCCACAAATGCAGGACCCTAAACCTTAAACCCAAATCCGTTTTTCTTGCAAAGCCCTATGCCGAAGTTGCAGCCCACTGTCCCTCTGCAGCCCAGACCCTCTTGTACTACGATGGATACTAAACATCCTGCATGGCCCTAGGTACCTTATGACTTGGGAAGTATACAGCAAGGTCATGCACAATTTTTAGTATCAACAGTGACATAGGCCCTTGCTTTGTGTTTTGTGGCCTGCCAGAACGCTGCATGTTTAATGGGCTGCAGCTAAGGAACTTACATTGAGGTATAATAATCGAAAATCAAACGAAAAAGAAAATGGAAGATGAAATGCTCTAGTCTCTAGGTTTACAAAAGACTGTTCAGGAACTTCACTAAAGTTACCACAACCAAGAAACCCCACTATTTTCCGTGTCTCCATATTATGGTAACTTACTTGACATTCCCTAACAGCACCCCAGACTGACTCCACTCCCTTGAGTAGCGTTTTTTTTGGTGGTTGAACCTAGTAAGATTACATTCCTTATATAAAATACTATACCCCGAAAGGAGGATATAATCTTACTCAAAATTGGGTACCATAGTATCCCCAAATAAAATACTACACAAATAACCCCTATATAACCCCAGCTTCCATTTCATTTTCCATTTGCTTTTCCATTTCATTCTCCATTATTGGGGTATTATAGTATCCCCAAATAAACAGCAGCCCAGCTTCACGTACACTCGGCGCTCTCCTTTACCGGCACGCGGGGCATCCCCTGGAATTACCTCGCGCTCCAGTGCGGCTGTGTACAGCGGGAGCTGTTTGCGAAATGTCTCAAAGTAGGAGACTTCCAGCTTTGAATGCCTGAGCTGCTACGCAAGTATTTGGAGCAGCTTACCATAATACAGAGATATGGTAATCAAAGGGTTTCCCTCTTATGTCAGCTCAAAGTAAGTAAGTTCCTTGACAGCAAGTAAGATGCAGCACAGCCCAGTCCAACGCAGTCTGAACAGTGGGCGTCTTGTAGACGTACAAGGCAGGGGTGTAGGTCTGACCGTAGAACAGCTGGGAGATGTCGTCCATCACGGTACGCTCGGGAACAGGCAGCTGAGTCATTGCTAGCTAGGCACGAAGAAGGAATTATCGGACCACAGCTATTGAACTGGAAATCGCCACTGCAGAGAGAGCGTCTCAGGCATATGTGACAACGCAACAGGCCAGAGCTGCAAGTTTCCAAGAATCCAAAGTTTTTGGGGTCCGTTTTGGAGTTCCCCAATTTAGGAAACCTGCCAACTTGTTAGAGACTCTGCAAAGACCACTCTAGAATGCCAGGGACACTCGTTCTTGGCCCACTGATGAGAAATCCTAGAATCTAGGGTTCAGCTTTTAGGGACCCCCGACTCCAAAAATACTATGTGAGAGGGACTCTATTACTCTCTCTCTCTCTCTCTCTATATATATATATGAGTGTAGATATGGCATTTTCCATAAAAAGGGGCCCCAATGTTGCCCCCTATTTTACCACAGCCCTTTGTATAGGGACCCCCAACAAAAGTAGCTCACCGGAGTGTTTCCATCAATGAATGAGAGCCCAAAATAAGTCTTGCCAAACCCTTGCCGTCCTTCACCCGATCCATTAACAGCCATAGATGCACGAAGGGACACAGTACGACCCCCACAGCTGTTCAGTGCAAAAAAGTCTGCGCCTTTCAGCTGCCACATTCGCCCCTGTTCCGGTCTTC